CTCTTTGGCCCCTTGAGTGTGGCTCTTCCTAAGCCTTAGGAGTACCCTAATTAAGTTAATAACAATGTACCTACCTATATAGTTTAAGTTTAAAAAATTTGGCTCTCAAAAGAAATTTCAGTCGTTGTACTGTTGATATTTGGCTCTATTGACTAATGAGTTTGCCGACCATGGGCCTAGCCAGTGGGGCTCGGAAGCATGAGCTACTCACCTTCTCTCCTCTCTTCTCTTGCAGTGCCATTTGGCTCATGGTTTGACCATGTTCGCGGCTGGCTTCAGATGAGAGGAAAAGAGAATTTCCTATTGATATTATATGAGGAGCTGCATCAGGTAATTCTTCTACCAAAGTGTCACTCTCTCCAACTCCATTCATAGCTGTCTACCAGTCTTTAATTTTACGTATTTATTTTTTAAATTAAATTTATTGGGGGTGACATTGATGAATACGATTACATAGGTTTCAGGTGTACATTGCTATGATTAAGAATAGAGTTACCATATGACCCAGAAAGCCCTCCATTCTTTTTTTTTTAAATATACATATTTTAATTGATTTCAGAGAGGAAGGGAGACAGATAGATAGAAACATCAATGATGATAGAGAATCACTGATTGGCTGCCTCCTACACACACCCCACCGGGGATGGAGCCTGCAACCCGGTTATGTGCCCTGAGCGGGAATCGAACTGTGACCTCCTGGCTCATAAGTCGACACTCAACCACTGAGCCACGCTGGCTGGGCAATCCCTTCATTTTTTTAAAAAAATATATTTTATTGATGTTGGGGAGGAAGGGAGAGGGAGTGAGATATAGAAACATCAATGATGAGAGAGAATCATTGATTGGCTGCCTCCTGCATGTCCCCTACTGGGGATGGAGCCCGAAACCCAGGCATGTGCCCTTGGCCTGAATCGAACCTGGGACCCTTCAGTCTGCAGGCTGACGCTCTATCCATTGAGCCAAACCAGCTAGGGCCCCTTCATTCTTTAATGTTTCCATTCTACACTTTCAATCAGAGCTGATCCCAGGAATGTGACCAAGTGGGGTCATTGCCTTTTTGTCATTGACCTCATTAGTTGGCCCATGTTCTTCAATTTTTTAATTTATGTCTTTTGACACACTTAACGCATGCACCGAGGACAAGCTTCACAACATATGTACTTGCTGGGGGTCATCGACGATTCTATGGCAAAAATCTGGGAACCAAAGGGCGGTGTCAGGTGGGGACCCATGGAAGGTGAGGCGTGACTGGGTCAGGACCAGAACAGGAAGTAAGGACGTGTTCCCAGCTAGACAGGAAGAGGATTCCTGTAGGAGTGGATTATGTAGGAGTGGATATTCATAGGAAGCTTCGGTTGGCATCAAAAGAAAGTGGCTTAATGAGTCTCACAGTCAATTGTCTCTAACGGGCATTTGCTTCTATACACGCACTCAGACCGCACATTTCCTACATGGACATGACGAGCTCACGCGCTTCCTGATTTCCTTCGTTTTCTGTCTCCTCCTCACCTCCATTCTCTCCTTGCTTCCCTTTTCCCTGTTGTACTTTAATTTCATGTGTTTTTTAAAAAATATATTTTTATTGATTTCAGAGAGGAAGGGAGAGGGAGAGATAGAAATATCCATGATGAGAGAGAATCATTGATCAGCTGCCTCCTGCACACCCCCAACTGGGGCTCGAGCCCACAACCCAGGCATGTGCCCTTGACCGGAATCCAACCCAGGACCTTTCAGTCTGCAGGCCGACGCTCTATGCACTGAGCCAAACCAGCTAGGGCTAATTTCATGTTTTCTCTGTTGTGGTTCTCATTCTAGGACATCAGAGCCAGTGTGGAGAAGGTCAGCCAATTCTTGGGCACGAAGCTAAGCCCAGAAGAACTGGACTCCGTCCTCAAGAATGTAACCTTCCAGGCCATAAAAGACAATAAAATGAGCAATTTCTCTCTACTCCCTGATGTCCTTATGATCATAGCAAAGCGTGTTTTATGAGAAAAGGTAAGAGAGAGTCTCTAATCTTACCACACGGATGTAACGGACAGTGAACCCCCCAGCTTCTATTGATGCACTAAGACATGGGGTGATGAAAATATTTGACTCTATTAAAATCACATAAGTGGTGCAGGACTTTGAGAGTTTAAGGAATAATTTGAAGTATTTCTAAGGTTGTAAAGCAATCTTAGGGGAAAAAAAATCTTAGAAAATGAAGCATTGCCAATGAATTACCCGCCCCCTCCCCCCCGACAATTTTTATGAGTTTATTTGAGCCAAATTGATGACAATTGCCAGGAAGCAAAATCTCAACAGACTGAGAAAATGCTCCAGAAAAATGGCAATTTTACAATTTATTTTATACATCAGAGTCAACGGAGAAGATGAAAGGGATTTACATGAAATCCATTGATGATAGCTTAGGGAGGCAGAAGAAAGCAAAGTGGGGAAATGCCTGGAATTGAATAAAATGGGGAAATGAAGAGACAAATACATTTTTTTTGTTTACATTGGTGGGTACATTATATTTTAGTAATATAAAAATACATTTTAAAAAATGTCTTGCATGTTAAACGAGGCAGACATGTAATATCCTAACACAGTGCCAGGCATTGAAGAAATTACTGTATTTTAGGCATGATCGCTTTTGTTGCCTTTATCATCACTCAATCCTCACAATGTCACAGGAGGTAGGTACTGGGAACAATCTTTTTTTTTTTTTAATTGATTTCAGAGAGGAAGGAAGAGATAGAAACATCAATGATGAGAGAATCATTGATCCGCTGCCTCCTGCAGGCCCCCTACTGGGAACTGAGCCCACAACCCAGGCATATGACCTTGACTAGAATCGAACTTGGGAGCCTTCGGTCCCCAGGCCGACCGACACTCTGTCCACTGAGCCAAACGGCTAGAGCTGGGAACAGTCTTGTGAAACAGACGGCAAACAGTAAACTCAACTACATTATTATGCAACTGGCAGTTTGGCATTGAAGCCAAGGGCATCTGAATCCAGACGGGGAGCTTTTAACTGCGTGGTTACACTGGGTGTGTTTTGTATTGACTGTGTAAGATAGATTCACAGTAGAGACGAACAGAGAAGTTCAAGTCGTGGGGCCTTATCTGTAAATCTGATCCGGACTCATGTTTTGTGTTTGACAGGAATCATTGGCGACTGGAAAAATCACTTCACAGTGGCCCAGAGCGAAGCCTTCGATAAAGTCTACCAGGAGAAGGTGGCCGGGCTCCCCCCAGGCCTCTTCCCGTGGGAATAATGGCCTCATGTGTCTGAATTGGGGTGCAAAGGCTGAATTTCCTGAGGTTCTTGTGTACCCAACAAAGCAAACTCTACATGATGAATGATATTTAGGAAATAGGTGGGTCCAGGTAGAACCCCAAGAGATGCGATTTCTAGAACCCAATTATTGACCGGTCCTCGCCTTAACCCAACAAGGCCTACAGTCCATTCCACACTTAACTGACACTAACCATGTTCCTTTTCTGCTGCCATGCCAGCTTCCCAAAGTGAATCTTTTGTCATATTTCAAACATACAGAAGAACAAACAGTATTTTTTTTAAAACAAATGGCAATTCTATCCACGTTAAAAAATAAAATTTAAAGCACACCCTCCTCCCGTGATCAAATGCCCAGACTGCTCCTGCCCTGCCCACTCTCCCTTTCCCCCACCCGCTTCAATACCTGTCACTTTCCAGCCACCAAGATCTTGGAAGCTAAGCAAAGAAGGGAATCCACTGAGAAGAGTCTGTAAACTTACAGCTTAAAGAGAATTCCGTTCAAGATGGCGGAGTAGGTGAAAGCTGTGCTCACCTCCTCCAATGACCACATCAAAATTACCTCAACCTATGAACCAGGAGGTCACGGTCCATTCCTGGTCAGGACACATGCCCGGATTGCGGGCTCAATCCCTGGTGTGGGGCGTGCAGGGGGCAGCCAATCAATGATTCCCTCTCATCATTGAGGTTTCTATCCCTTTCCCTCTCCCTTCCTCTCTTAGCTCAATAAAAATACATTTTTTAAAAAGTTACAGCTTAAAGAGATCCTTGGAGAGTCCCATCCAAGATGGCAGAGTAGGTGAACACTGTGCTCACCTCCTCCAATGACCACATCAAAATTACAAGTCAGCTCAGCTGGTATGGCTCAGTGGTCGAGCGTTGACCTATGAAGCAGGAGATCACCGTTCAATTCCAGTCAGGGCACACGCCCGGGTTGCAGGCTCAATCCCCAGTAGAGGGCATGCAGGAGGCAGCCGATCCATGATGTTTCTCTCGCATTGATGTTGCTATCTCTCTATCCCTTCCTCTCTTTCCAAACATCAATAAAAACTTATCATTTGGAAATAGTGATGTTGGGTGCAGATAATATTAACATTTCATAATAAGTTACCCAACTCCCAGACAATTGTTGGCTAGGATGTGATTTGAATAAAACAATTACAGCATGAAGCATAACATATGGTATCTTATTTTGTTGCTGTTGTTGCAATGGTAAATGGGAATGTTTGTTTGTTTTTTTTTTAGTTGTAAATGAAAATTTTCATTTTTCCTAATATTAGTAGTTAACAAAAGGAATGTCCCCCTTTTTTCCTCAGAGCAACCCTATTCTGTTGGGTTTTTAATTGGAGAGAACGAGAGAGAGAGAGAGAGAGAGAGAGAGAGAGAGAGAGGGGGCACAGGGAAGCCTAGTACTCATTCTTCAGTATCTGCCATGGGCATAGCTGTGGCCATTACTCTCACACAGAGAGCATGTGCTTTGGCTACAGTGTCAGGATCTTGGCTATAATCTCCTATGAAAGCAAACATGCCCGAAGCATTTCCTTGATTTTCATGCACAAAAGAAACATTTTGTACAGTTGGGTTGTCCTACACTGGCGAGGACAGAAGACAGCCTTTGAACTAAGAGCTCAATCTTTTTGTCAGTTTAGTGACAAAGTTTGGGGCTTTCTACCCTTAAGTGGACATATAAAGGTTGTGCAATGAAAGAGAGATTTGGAGTCCAGTCATGACAACATCCAATAAGCCCGTAAAATCCCCTTAATTCTCTTTCATCACGGGGTAAGGGAAAGGACTAAATATTTCTCTTTCGTTCAGAATCCAATTGAGAAACCTTAATTACAGATGATCTGACCCAAGTATTGGACTATTTTTTGGAGCCAATTGTAATTTTTCTTTAGACACTTCATGTCACCCTCCAGCTAATGGAGACAATAAATAAAGGTTTCTCTCTGGTTGGGTAGTCCAGTTGGTTAGAACACAGTCCCAATACGCCAAGGTTGCGGGTTCAATCCCCAGTCAGGGGATATACAAGAATCAACCAATGAATGCATAGGTAAGTGTAACAACGAAACGATGTCTCTCTCTCTCTCTCTCTCTCTCTCTCTCTCTCTCTCTCATCAATAAATAAACAAACAAACAAACAAATGCTTTCTGCTGAAGAAACTTCCTCAGAAGAGGGAAAGAGTAACAATTCACCCGCACATTGTGTTAGGGTAGAATCACTAGAAAACACAAGATCTTGAATGTCTACCTTCAAAATCTAAAAAAGTTAGGCTCTCCCTATATTCATGTGGCATAACAGTCCAGGTATATTGCTCTTGATTCCAAATTAAAGGCACACAACAATGGACTCTGAGAGGCCCTGGCCAGGTAGCTCACTTGGTTAGAGCATCATCCCAATATGCCAAGGTTGAGCGGGTTTGATCAGGGCACATACAAGTATCAACCAATGAATGTAGAGATAAGTGGAACAACAAATTAGTGTTTCTCTCTCCTTCCCTCTCTCTCTAAAATCAATACATTAAAAAAAATTGACTCTGAGAATGTCCTGGTACCCTCAAGAAAGCATTACGTAAGTTACAATCCAAAAATAGGAACTATTTCTGGGGATATTTGAAAGCAGAGTGTGAGGATTGGGCACCTCTGGTTGTCAGAGAATCACTATGGTATTGGATACTCTAGAATCTTGGACAAAACTTCATCCTCTGCCATGAGTTTTTCTCACAGGCAAGGTAGGGGTGTTACATGGGCTAGTACAAGGTACAGTCATCTGTTTAGAAATATATTCATCAGACTCGTGCAGCCACTGTGGAAGACAGTATGGCGTTTCCTCAAAAAGTTAATAATGGAACTCCCACTTGACCCTGTGATCCCACTTCTAGGACTATATCCCAAGAAACCAGAAACACCCATCAGAAAGGACATATGCACCCCTATGTTCATAGCAGCACAATTTATAATAGCTAAGATTTGGAAACAGCCCAAGTGCCCATCAACAGATGAGTGGATTAAAAAATGGTGCATCTACACAATGCAATACTATGCCGCTATCAAAAAGAAGGAACAGCATGGATGGATCCGGAGAGCATTGCGCTAAGCAAAATAAGCCAGTCGGAGAAAGATAAATATCACTCATTTGTGGAATACAATGTGCTCTTTAGAGAAGTGTATAATCAGGTCTTGTGCCCATTTTTTAATTGAGTTGCTTGCCTTTCTTTTGTTGAGTTGTATTAGTGCTTCATATATTTTGGAAATTAACCCTTTATCAGATGTATCGTTGGGAAATATGTTCTCCCATACACTGGGCTCCCTTTCCACTTGGATGCTGGTTTCCTTTTGCTGTGCAGAGCCTTTTATTTTGATGTCGCCCCATTTGTTTATTTTTTCCTTTGTTTCTCTTGACCTAGGAGATGTATCAGCAAAAATTCTGCGACATGAGATGTCTGATATTTTGCTGCCTATGTTTTCCTCTAGGATTTTTAAGTTTTTTATCCATTTTGAGTTTATTCTTATGTATGGTGTAAGCTGGTGGTCTAGTTTCATCTTTTTTTGCATGTGTCTGTCCAGTTTACCCAATACCATTTGTTGAAGAGACTGTCTTTACTCCATTGTATGTTTTTGCCCCATTGTCAAATATTAACCCACCATAATAGTGTGGGTCAATTTCTGGGGTCTCTGTTCTGATCCATTGGTCTATATGCCTGTTCTTGTGCCAGTACCAGGCTGTTTTGATTACAGTGGCTTTGTAGTATAGTTTGATTCCAGTATTGTGATCCATCCAACTTTGCTCTTTTTCTTAAGGTTGCTGCAGCTATTCAGAGTCTTTTTTGGTTCCATATACATTTTTTAAGTATTTGTTCTAATTTTGTGAAGTATGCCATTGGTATTTTAATAGGGATTGCATTGAATCTATAGATTTCTTTGGGTAGTATGGGCATTTTAATGATGTTAATTCTTCCAATCTTCCTCTATTTCTTTTTCCAATGTCCTATAGTTTTCAATGTCTTATAGTTTTCTGAGAACAGGTCTTTTACCTCTTTGGTTAAGTTTATTCCTAGGTATCTTATTTTGTTGTTGTTGCAATGGTAAATGGGAGTGGGGTTTTTTTTTTTAGTTGTAAATGAAACTTTTCATTTCTCCAATATTAATAGTTAACAAAAGGAATGTCCCCCTTTTTTCCTCAGAGCAACCCTATTCTGTTTTTTTTTAATTGATGAGAGAGAGAGAGAGAGGGTGTGCGGAGGCACAGGACAGGAGTTGGTTGAATGCGGCCACCCCTGCCTTGACTTTTCCAAACAAGCCTGAGCCCCCGGGTGTTTACTGGAATCTTTATGTTTAGTCTTCAGATGTTCTTGCTTAAAGGACACCACAGACCTATGTGCCTTCTCAAGGATGCTGACCCTGCTGATAGTGTCTAAAAATTCATTTTAGTTCAAGCTGTGGTTACAATAAAAGCCTGAGGAGGCAGGTGAATGGGGCTGTTTGGTTCCTCTAGCCAAGCAGCCCCTTAGCCCTCTCTTTCACAGAAATGTGTCAGAGTAATCATTCATCCGTCGCTCAGGGTCTGCGAGTCAGTCCCAGTCAAAGGGCGGGGGGGAGGGAGAGGGAGAGGTCAATTTGCTGTTCCACTTACTTATGCATTCATTGGTTGTTTCTTGTATGTGCCTTAACCAGGGATCAAATCTACAACCTTGTAATATCAGGACAATGGTCTAACCAACTGAGCTACCCAGCCAGGGCTATAATTCTAATAATACATCATGTGTATATTGTATGAGTGCTCACCACCCAAAGTCAAGTCTCCTTCCATCACCATTTATGCCCCCTTTATCCTCTTCTAACTCCCCCCACCTTCCTATTCCTCCAGTAATCACCGTACTGTTGTCTGTGTCTATAAGTTTTGGTTTTTTGCTTGGTCCCTTCACTTTTTTCATCCAGCCCCCTAACACCCTCCTCTCTGACAGCTGTCAGTCTGTTCTCTGTATCTATGAGTCTGTTTCTATTTTGTTTGTTAGCTTTTAGACCTTTTCAATTCCTTGTTTCTTATGCTGAGAAAAAAAAGGGCCAGAGGTCAGGGGTGGCCAGTCATGGACTGCCATCCAGCCTCCGCCTCTGACACCACAGGTTGGGCAGTTCCTAGGTGGGGCCCTGTGTCAAGCTCTGGGCCAGGGGAACACACATCCACAGGCAAAAGTGAGCGCCACATTGGGCGCCAAAACTGTTACTGAACTAAAGGGGTCCATTTGCCTGCGCACATCAAAGCCCAGTAAGATGAACAGGA